CTGAAAACACCTCAGTAGCACTTGTTTCACTCATAAGTTTAGTACTAAAATGATTCCAGAGCTTTTGACTGGAAGAAGAAACTCAACTGTATTTTCTTTCTTTCCCATAGAACCACTCGGTGGAAGTTGAAAGTAAGAAACAGCAGTTAAAAAGTCTTAAGGAACATGTAGATAAACTCTGTTCTTTTAGTAGCCCAGAGGACCAGCAGACATTGCAGGGAAAGACTGAAGATTGTTTTCAGATCTTCCAGGAGGCAAGTCAAATAACTAGACAAAGACAAGAAGCTCTGGATCAGCTGCGAGTATTTCTGGAGCTCCATAGCACTGCATCACGAGTGCTCCACCAGCTGAAGCAGACAGTGGAGAAAACAGGAAATATGGATAAAGCTAAATCTGAATTACTGGAGAAGGATCTCAATGGTGTTATTCAAGATCTTAACAATTTGGAATCTCTTGCCATCAGTTTGGATGGTTCCCTTACTAAGGCCCAATATCATCTGAAACACAGCATTTCTGGGCAGAGGACCTCCTGCAGGGCTGTGGTGGATAATCTGTGTGTAGAACTGGAGGCAGTTCAAAATCTGCTTGGAACCAAACAAAGTGAGGCAGAAGCTCTTGGAGCCTTGCAAAGATCTTTCATGGAGCATAAGGAACAGTTACTGAAGAGTATTGAAGATGCTGAGGAAAAGGCTGACAAAGAGGGCCTGAAGGAAACAACGCTACAAGCCCTCCAGCAAAGGTAAAAACAGTATTAATGGTGACATTGGCACTTCCACACTGGCTTGCAGTCTCCAGACTTTTTATGATGCATTGGACACGTGTGTTTTGTGCCTGAGTACTTTATTTCTTGACAAGTGAATTATTTGGATGGATGGAGAACAGGCACAAGACCCTTAGCAAGTCCTGCTAATCTTTTATATTGAAAGAGCAGTCATGAGAGTCTGTGTCTCAGAAATATATTTAGTCCCAATGGATCCATTCTCCAAACAGCTGTTAGAAATGCCATGTAACATAACTATCTCTACTCTTACAGAACTGAAGACTGTACATGTGATGAAGGAATTGAAAACACTATAATAAAGTATTAATCTAAATACTTAAGTATATTTCCAACTGACTGTTTGAGGTGAAGGTACATGTATATCTATATAATTGTATAGCTGTATATCTATCAGAAAAACCATATTCTGATCAAGGTTGTAGCAGAGCACAAATCCAGATAACACTTTTATTTCTGAAGATACTGTGGGAAATTTTAGAAAAAAGGAACTTGATGTACAGTAACTCTAGCAACTGTTTCATTCTTCCTCCTTTCTTCTCTTGCAAAAAAAAAGTGCAGATAAGTAAATTTGAAACCTGCCTTTTAACTTGCAGATTGAGGATCTTTAACCTGTTAGATGAAGAATTGAATTCTCACCAGCATGAACTCCAGTGGCTCATGGACAAAGCAAAACAAATAGCCCAAAAAGATATCACACTTGGTCCTGAGGTTGATAAAGAGATGAATCGCTTAGAATCTCTGTGGAAGGATACCAAGAAAGTTATACATGAAAAGTAAGTAGATCTTTAGCTTAAGGTGAGAAAAGAGAGGATGGGAAAAGAGAATTATTACATTTAGTATTTTCTTGCTATATTAGTGGCAATAAAAAACAGAGCTTGTAGGTTAAATACTGAGTAGAAGATAAAACAGTGTTAACAATGATATTTGTACCAGTTGTAGTTACACTATTAATACAACCACAGATAGGTCCTCAGTACAGTACTTATATATATATATACACTGGATTTTTAGTTGGATGTTATCGTTTACTCTGCTGCAAGCTAAGAAATCTCCACTGAGATTTCAGTATCACTCTAACTGGCTCATATTCTCCTTCTAGCACATATTTTCATTCTCTATTGGATAAGTGTTTCTGGCAATTCTATATTCAGTGGATCTAAATTCTTAGATTTAAGTCTTCCTGTCTACCCAAGTGACTGGGTTCACAATAATCATCAGTGTATAATCAGTGCTATAAGACAATTTTGCTTATCTGTGAAAGTTCATGAAGAAAGGAGCTAAACTAAAGAAAGTTTTATCATACTCTTTTCTTTGTCTTAACTGTCTCTTCAAAGACAAATAGCAGTGTGTCCTCTGGAATCTTGGACCTCCTGAACCTGCTTATTTTGGAGAGCTCTTTGGAGCATTCAGAGAAGAGCCAGCTTCTAGCACAATTACCCCTTTCTTGGCAATGCCATGTTTCCCAAATTCCTTTCATTGACAAACACTGTTCTGCAACTAAGCATATCCAAAGTATTAGTCTTCCTTCTGTCTCTTCAATGTAAACACTGTGAATTATTTTAATAGATTTTTTTTTCCTTCCGTCCATTACCTGAGCATAAATAGGCTTTTCTGGAGATGGATTGGAAAAAAAAATTAGGCCTGCTCTTAGGAACAGGTAAATTCATTCTCAGTAGAATGACATTTAAGTTGAAGGTAACATTTTAGTCCCAAAAGCATGCACCTGACAATTCAAGGACAAAATAGTTACTTATCTTTCATTGCTTTAGTATTCATTTCTGCTTCTTTTTACCCAAAAAACACTCCATGTTAAAGAAACAAGTTTTAAAAAAATCAACAAACCATGAAAGCCAGCATCATTATAATGTGGTTTCCAGTCAAAAAGGTGCTAAACTTAGGAACTGAGAAGCTTGAATTCCAGTTTCAGTCTTTCTTTTGCTGAAATCAGTTGCTTTGATATCTGATATATATGAGATGGCAATTCATATACTGTCTCTTCAGTGAGATGTTTTGCTATGTATGAGTAAAATGTTAGTGTTTCCTGGGCTGCCAAAACATGTTTAGCACTGCATCCTTGTTTTCCCATGGTGAATTGCTATTTCACATTATCCTTCAGAAACATGATAACAAGTGGTGCTAACACCACCTTTTCATATTACAGAAAGGAACAGTCCTGCATTCTTATTGATCTGATGAAGGAATATCAGAGCTTGAAGTCAACAGTAATGAAAGTCATAGACAATGCTAACAGTGCTTCTGTGATCAAATCCATTTGGAAGGATCATGAAGATGTCAGGCGAACGTTATCAAAGGTAATTGCATATATTTTGCTTTGAGGGATTTAAATTATTTTTGAATTAGATGGAAATTTTTTTTTGTTTGAACAGCACTCTTGAGCTGTGTTTAAAATTCCTTGAATTTACTGTCAGATCTTGTCACACTGACATTCAGGTTTAAATTGGACTGATTCTGGTGAGGAACGAATATAGGAGAAGCAGCACACTTGATCATTGGACACTGACACCATCCCTGTTTGGGTGCTTGTCACACTCTCCTTGCTTTTCATAAAATTCACTCTCCATCGGTTTGTGTCATTAAAATCTACATTCATAACATGACCTTCAATCACATCAACAAAAACAACCAAACAAAATATAAACTTCCCCACACCAAAAAACCATCAAAATAATGTCACCACAACCACTGAACAAAAAGTGGGCAATTTACATATGATCCACCTCTTTTTCCTCTTCACCACAATTACAACAGAAATTCCCCATGATCATTCCACTCTCTAATATTGTTCAGTCCATGTTTTGCCTGTTACCTCTTCCAATTGCTCCTTATCTCAAATTCCTCATGATCTCAGTCACAGCACCAAAAAAAGCATCCTCTGCTACCAAAAAGACTGTAGTGTGTTGATCCTAGCTGGATGCCAAGCATTCACCAAAGCTGCTCTCTCACTCCTCCACAAATGGACAGAGGAGTGAAAATATAATGAAAGGTTCACCATTTGAGATAAGGACCAGGAGAGATCACTCACTGAATACTGTCATGGGCAAAACAGACTCAAGTTAGAAAAATTAAGTGATGATTTTACTACTTACAAGATCAGAGCAGGATAATGAGAAAATAAAGCAGACCTTAAAAACACATTACCCCACACCTCCCAACTCTACCTTCTCCATCCCAGCGGTGCAGGGAGATGGGGGAGTGGAGGCTATGGTCAGTTCATCACACATTATTTCTGCCACTGCTGTCAGGGAAAGGAGTCCTTCCCTTGCTCCCGTGTGGGGTCCCTCCCATGGGGCTCTCTGTGAACAGACTAAACTTGGGGAAATTAAGTGATGTTATTACCAAGAAAATAAGAACAGGATAATGAGAAATAAGACAGACCTTAAAAACACATTACCCCACACCTCCCAACTCTACCTTCTCCATCCCAGCGGTGCAGGGAGATGGGGGAGTGGAGGCTATGGTCAGTTCATCACACATTATTTCTGCCACTGCTGTCAGGGAAAGGAGTCCTTCCCTTGCTCCCGTGTGGGGTCCCTCCCATGGGAGACAGCTCTCTGTGAATTTCTCCAATGAGTGGCAGTTCTCCATAAACAGCTGCAGCGTGGGTCACTCTTCACAGGGTGCAATCCAGCACCCCAGGAACAGCCTGCTCCAGCACAGGTCTCCCACAGGATCACAGGTCCTACTAGGAGCTCTGTTCCAGCTTGAGTCTCCTTTCTCCACGAGTCCTCAGGCCTCTTTCTAATTCACATTTTAACTAGAACTGAAAGCCAAAACAGAGCTCACCAGTCTAACAAAGAAATGCATGTAGCTTCCATATGATTCCTTTCCTTTAAGTGCGACTTGGGCTGTGGAAAATTTCCTGCTACAACAGTGGCCATATCTAGGCCTGAAGGAGTTGGAGTTCGATGAATATTTTGGCCATACCATATCCACATTAGTAGCTAATCTCTAATACTGATTTGTAATCCTTGTTAAAGAAAATAATGTAAGATGTTTACTGCGATCCTTTCTCAGTGTATTGTCTTTTCAGTTGAACATTTTAGAGATTTTCCTATGCCTAGAATTGCAAAATTAGCAGCCCTGAAGATTTTGTCTAATTTCTTTCTGATTACATCTGTACTTTGGTTTCCAAAGTATCTAGTAGTGATAGGGTTTATAATTCTAAATTATATTTACAACATCCTCTGTTTATCCTTTTGTAATTCCAGAAGTGATTTTAGATACCAGTTAGTCAATGATGAGGAATGGAAAAGAGAATGTAAAAATAAATTAAAAAAAAAACCCCTAACAAAAATTGCCTTAAGTCCAGAAGACATTTGGTTACCAAGTGGGAGAAATTCAGATTTTATTATTCCCACTTGTGTGCTTTATTTATAAGAACAATCATAGTATTTGATTATGCTCATGAGAAACCTATGTCAGTTTATCTGTATTTTGTGGAATAGTTAAATATTAGATGGTTTGCTGAATGAGACTTATTAAATTCATTCCACAGGATAGGAATGGGTGCCTGGAGAACTAGATTTTTCTTTCTTTCTTCAAGGCTTCACTAAACAATCAAATATTTATGTTCACAGCATGAAGCTGCCAAGAATGATCTGAGTGATAAACAGAAAGACCTGGATGCTTTCACTAATAAAGGAAAACATTTGTTAGCAGAATTGAAAAGAGTGCATAACTGTGACTCCACTGCAGTAAAAACAGATATGAACTCTGTGGTGGACAAATGGCTAGATGTAAGTGACTGGTGTTTACATGCTGAATACAGTTTTTAAGTTGGGCTAAGGTTAAAATATTGGCTTTTTTTAGGATCTTAGAGTGCAATTGTTTCGTAAAATTTACTTCGAAGTATATCTCAAAGGCTTAATCAGATAGATTTGGCATCCACTGTACACACAAAGTTGTGACATTGATTTGATAGATTTAAAATTATGTCTTATAACAATGTATGAATGCTACAAGCATAAATTTGTCCAGTGCACACTTCTGAGAATAAATTTAGATTGGATTCACACCTAAGGTATACCAGTATTATTTTAATATGAAAGTAAATTGGACTAAATAAATTCGGCGGTAAATTACATTAAGCTACACCGTAACAGATATGAATATGCTGAGAAAGACAACATTATAGTGGAGAAGCATAATATAAAAGCTAGGAACCACAGAACAGAATGGTTTGGGTTCGAAGGGACCTTAAATATCATCTAGTTCCAGCCCCACCTGCCAGGGGCAGGGACACCTTCCACTAGACCAGGTTGCTCAGAGCCCCATCCAACCTGGCCGTGAACTCTTCCAGAGACAGGGCATCTACAGCTGCTCTGGGCAACCTGTTCCAGTGTCTCACCACCATCACAGTAAAGAATTTCTTCCTAATATTTTACATTTTCATATTTATACTGACTTACTAGCAAATTCCTGTATTATATATGAAAGATAAACATAGGGGTTTTTAAAGATAAATTTATTTGAACATAAAAGTCTTTCCCAGTAAAAAAATGCACAAATATTGAGAAGCAGTCACATGATTTTTGTTCATTTTGTGATCTGTGTAACTAAATTAAAATTAGAATTTGGAATTTAGAACTAAATCTAAGAAAATTATTTCACCCAGGCTTGCTATTTATTTTTTATGCACTTGTCTTAGAACTGGCTGCAAAATAAAGAAATCTAAAATGAATTTTTGAATGGTATTGATACATTTTTTTCTCCTAAAAGGTGTCTGAAAGAACTGAAGATAACATCGACCGACTGAGTGTAAGCGTGTCTCTATGGGATGACATCGTGAAAACTGGAGATGAATTAGATGGATGGTGCAATAAGTGCATTTCTCAACTGAATGAAGGCATCAACAACTTCAGTAGCAGTCAGAGAATGGAGGTCCTCTTGAATGACTTCCAGGTGCTTACCCATAAACCAGTGATAAAAATGGTCTTGACTAAAATCTCAAGGGATGTCAGGCACATAGATAAGACTGTGCAGTTGTAGACCACTGTGTCCTCTGTTCAAGCAGTGGTACCCCTAACCCCATAACTAGCTGACAGTATACCAGTCCTTTTTTTTGAAGGCATTTGCTTCTGATAGAAAAAAACCCAGCACATCTTACTAAATTTAAGCTCCATAGTTATTTTGGTTCTAGCAGTTATATTTGGTTCTAGACTGAATTCTGTTCCTGTAGAAACTAATGGAAATTTTAGACAACTTCAGCTGAAGTTAAGCAAAAAAATGAGTAGTTTCTAAAATCTCATCTAAGGAAGGAGATTCTCCAGACAATAAAAATGATATGCTGGACTGGAAGGCAAATTTTATATTAGGTTCTAACAATTTCTCTTGGATGATGACTTTCTTTTCCGGATAATGTTTAACTGTTTCAGAAATCTTGCCAATGCTGAGGATACATTCTGCCTCTTTTGGCTTAAAATATACAGCAGGTCAACTGTAGAATGAGCCGTATTCTACTTCATTGGAAATAAATGATGTCCTTAAGAAGATGCACCATGGATATATTCAAGTAGTATGATTGAATTTAAAATGTTGATAAATCAGTATTTAGCTCAGGACAAGCTTTATCTAATGCCTTTATGATTATATAGCAATCAGACCATCTAAACTCATCACTGTTATAACTGATTTGGAGTAAAAGCACCCAGTACCCAAACCACAGATGTACCTGGTTTTCAGGAGGGCCAAAATAGCAGAATACATGAGCACTGTGCATATATTTCCTGTTACAGAATCATTGTTCATAATATTTTATTTGCACTTTGTTTTGCAAAGGCACGAGAAAAGGCAGTTCACTGACAGAAGGGTCTTGCCTTTTCAGCAATCAGAACTAGATGAGCATGGACAGAAACAATCAGTATACCTTTTTTATGGCCTAATTCAGTGGTTACATTTTTGATCAGCCACCTAATATTATATATTCTCTAGTACAAAATACCCCCTGAGTATTCTTCTGGGGTCACATTAATTTTTACCATTCAGGGCAGATGTTAAGTGCAGGAATTTAATCCTGATATCCACTGTCCGATCTTTTAATTGGAGTCATCTGCTTGAATTTGTCAGAAACACAAATTTGGGTAATAGGTAACACACAAAAATTCGCATCTCTATTCTGCCAGTTTTAAGAAACTAAAGCAGTTAGGGCATTTCAAATGCTAACAATGTGTGTGATTATTTTAAAGGAAGAGAAAATT